TTTTCCTCACTCTTTAGTAAAAAATATACATAACATTGACAAAAGATCACTGTCTCTAATTATTTAAGACATTTTCTGATTTGGGGATGTGCCAAAATTAATGCTACCTTATAGCACATTAATAACTTTACATTCAAACATTTACCAAATCAAAAATTTCTCTCAACCAAATACTGCAGTTCACTGCTGTATTTAATTATTGAGATAACAACAATGACTGCAGCTGTAACTTTCCAACATCTACAGCCAGATAACCTGATGCTGCTATTCAAAACGCCAAACAAAGAACATTGTGTATATAACATCTAATAATTTCTCTTCCTCATACTAGCAAGACAGGAGCAAGTATCAGTCTGGTTCAACACATTTCTCACAGTATAATAATAATGAGTGCAGCTACAGCCTGCAGGTATCTGGTTCCCCAGATTTTGTGGTTGCAACAGGACATTTGTATTATCACAATGTTCCTTTACACCCTTATTAAGATATTCAATGGAAAGTGCAAAGTTAGATACAATACAACTTAACTACATAAATGTTATTAACAAGTATACTAGTATTTCCTTTGCAGGAAACTGATGAAACACAAAATTTAATGCACAGGTATCTGTGTTAGTTTTTACACATTTCCCAGCTTGCTTCACACCAACCCTTTTTATATGAGATCACAGGTAGACGATCATACACACACTGTATTGAGAAATTAATATTATGACCACTACTTTTAATAAAGCAAGGGTTCAATTTCTTCTTCAACATAGAGATCTTTTCAAAAACAAGTCCTAAGAATAATTTGCAAGGTTGTCTAAATGTCAATATTTTGTCTTGGGTACAGCTTCCCACTCCACTTAATGTATTCTTTGATGATGATGATACGCAGGCGAGGGAATGACTCCCCTTGTTGACAATCACTTGATACAGGGTCAGGTAGGTCCAAGGCACCAGCATTACTCCTGACTCCTCAAAGTCACACACTGACACTATCTCCAAACAAGACATGTCTTCCTCAAACTGACACTACTTTCAAAAAGGTCTTTCACTTTATCCTTTTCTGAATATCATCATTCAACAATTTAACAGGACCTGCACTCCAGCCGCTGTGAAGGTTCTCAGGTCACTGATACTAGATGCCTGTTACAGGTATCTTAAAAAATCACATCAGAAGTTGTAAGTTCCCAGCTACTGATGGGTACGCAAACATTTCTTAGAAGTAACGATCTGCATTGAAGGGCTGATGGTCATTCACTTGCACAGGCATAGCCATAGTCACTGGCACGCCTCCAATCCTGAGGTCATCCACATTGTCCCATCCATTGCAGCTCTCAACCACAGTTGAGACCTGGAACAGAAAAGATCATTTTGAGATGCATGGAACCCTATAATATTACTGAAAGTAAATAGTGTTTTTGTACTAAAATTATTGGCAAATTTAAAAAGTAATTTTACTGCTTAATTTCTAGTCTGTATGATAATATATAATACATTAAACATTAAAGTAACTAATCAAGTGTGATCATATCATCTATAAAATAATCATAAACTACAGTTGCAATAAAAATATTTCCACACATTTGATCATATTCAGATAGGAAAGCTTAAACAACATTTAAAGTCTATATTTTAAAGGAAACATATGTCAACAAGCTGCACCTACTCTAATACTATAAAAATTATCTTAAAAATTCTGGTAATTATAATTTTACACTGTTCATTTTCCGTCCCATTTCTGGCAACAAGCTTGGTAAAGTATGTAAACAGCATAAGCGACGTCATAAAATAAGAAAGTCTTGAGGCATGTGAAGGAATTCCCGTGCCTGGAATGCGTCCATGGCGGCACCGGCCAGACACGCTGGCACCCGCCGGTCAAATGTGCCAAACTTCATCTTATTTATTATTCTGCTTTCTCGTCATAACTTGAATATTATCATCATTATTACTCCAGAGTGCGGACTAACGAGGTAATGACTGCAGCTATAGCAATAACCCAGTTACCAGATAAAACTGTATAAAAAAGTAGTCCAACTTGGACGAGAACTAGTGTTACAAGCGGCAACATTGAAAGCGGGAATTCCAGCAGACTCGCGTGCCGCTACCTCGTTCTCTGGAATTCGTGCTAAAAGAACAGCTCGATAAACAAAGTCTACCTTGAATAATCCACCGCTACTTCCCTTTAATATTTAACAACTAAAACGGAGTACATGTATAAAACGAAAAGGCTTTGTATAATCACTGGCCCGAAAGTCACACGTGTCCCAATTGATCGACCGGCGGATCGTCCATTTCTTTCCTCTCAGGTGCCGCGTGTTCCCCCTGGAGGCAAGGGTACAAAATTTGAACCGCACCAAGGAAATTGCAACTAGTTACAGAATTGTTTAACAATGGAACAAATTCATATCTAAAGTTGAATTGAGGTTGTTATAACGAGTAACAAAAATTCGTATAGCATTTCGCTCTTACTTTCTTCCTTTATTTTTATTTCCTCAACCTGCATAATTCCGACTGACAAAGCCCTTTAGTAATACCACTCTCACTGAAAGCAGTCTGTTCCTTCTAAAAACACGCCGGTTGGCGTTGATGCCATCAAGAGATCGTAAAATTAATTCAGTTGTGGATATACCATAATTTGTTTCATTGACGTCAAAACGCAGCGCTTAAGAACATTTTAAAAATGATTTCGTCAAACAAAAAGCAGGGAATACCAAACAAAATGCAAATCCATCGGCCCTTTATGCGCATACCGTTACTTACAGTAGCTGAAGGCAATTCTGACCTGTTTGAGTCGTAAAGCTTTGTCGAAATTTAGCCTATCGCAATCGTCAAATTCTGCACAAACCCACGGCGGTGATTACTGTAACGAGCGATTCTTGAGTACATTTCATCATCAAAAGCGCTGATGCAAAGCTCCAGCGCCGAACGGAGTCCCTCCCCTACTGAGCTGCCATGGTCGGAAGAGGACAAGGTCGTTTGGTGCGAGCGTTTCCCCAGGCGAATAAAAACTTGCCAGATCACTTACGTCCTCCACTCTATGCTTTTCTGAAGTCGCTAGGGTGTGGAGCTATTCATTGATTATATCACTGCTTCACACTCAGTGCAGTTGACACGCACTGGATCTTCGGGCCTCGAAGAATTACGGTGCAGCGCGGGGGCGGGTCTGGTGACTGGCCGGAATAATTTACGAGCTGATGGACGTCCGAGGAAAAACCTGCACTTATTTTCAAAATATGAAGCAAAAACGCTTACTTAGTGGAATACGGAATAAATCAAGGCTATCGCAAGGATCTCCGATATAACCCTGGAATCCGCTGTTTAATCTGGTCTGATGCAAGGCTTGTTCTACACCATTTTTTTTCTTGCACTCTGGAGGACGAAGACCACTTTGTGGGAATTCCCGAACCTTGGCTTGTGACTGCAGACCTAACAATTAGCAACGTTCCTATTTTCAGAGTTTCAATCGGACACGTTTGATACGATTCGAAAACGAACTCATATGTTCGTAGTTACCGTTAACACGCACTCTATACAAAGACCTGCCTAAAACCACGAAACCCTACAGGCGTGATCTTTCCCGGGCTCACCTCATCGTAGTCAAGGTCTTCGTCCGCGGTGAGGTAGGTGGGGAGAGCGTCCCCGGGAGCGCCGAGCTTTAGCAACTGGTGCGCCAGGTCCATCGCCCCGTTGGCTAAGGCCAGCTGTAAAGATCCATAAAATCACATGAAGTTCATGCTTTAGATTGCATAACATGTCAAAATCACAACATTATATTTCTCTCGGCGTCATTACAAGGATAGCATCGTGACTGACCTGGTAGGGGGTAAGTCCAGCGTAGGTCTCCAGGGTGAGGGACGCTCGGCAGGATTCGGTGAGGAATTCCACCAGGTCGGCGTCACGGGCCTCTACGGCGTAGTGCAGTGCCGTCCGACCACTCTTGCCTTCCTGAAGGGCACGAGGAGCGAGGTGTTAAGTTAGGGAAACTTTGCCACAGAATTGCAACACAATGTTTCACTCCCATCAATTTTGCCATCATTTCAACAACATACATGCATACACAGAAGCAAACAAGCAAATAAACACACAGAGAATAGCGAATATAGAAATAATCCCGTTTTGTAAAAAAAAAATATATATAAAAAAGTTATCCATACACTTCTAAATACAAACCACGCATCGCTAGCCTTCTATGAAGGAACTACATATATGAATACATATTATTTAGCGACTGAAAACAATACGTTAAAATAGGAAAGACTACAGCAATTCACGACTTTAAAAAAAAACAGATGGGCATATTATCATAAAAAAACAGAAGTCTATGTTCTTCGAAGTTGAGTAAAGCGCCGTCTGTTCAAATCGACGGAATTCCCGAGGGCGTGTGGTGAGCGGCAATGATTCCCTTAGGCAATACACTCTCCATTACTACTCTAAGTCACAGCTGGAACCGTGTAAGCTTTCGTCACATGACTGCCTCTGTTTTTTCCCAACGTAGACTACACAGTGACTCAGCCTTGGGTGGTTTGTATTTTTTTTCGTAAAATAAATTACCATTTCTTCAAATCATGTGTACGTATGGAAATGCCAACTTTCTAAAAGTCTGTCTACCACTTTCTCTCTCTTTCGCACACATACTGAAGCTTTCCCTCAATATGATACATTTATGTAACATGTATTCTGTTGATAGATACTTGCTTACAGAATAAATATATGTACATATATATATATTATATATAATATATATATATATATATATATATATATATATTAGTGTGTGTGTGTGTGTGTGTGTGTGTGTGTGTGTGTGTGTGTGTGTGTGTGTGTGTGTGTGTGTGTGTGTGTGTGTGTGTGTGTGTGTATGCGGCCGCGAGGGGGGGGGGGGCGCGCGTGTGGGTATATGTGTTTGTTTGTTTGATGGTTTGTAGGTACGTGTTCATTCATTTATTACTTACTTTGGCGTTAATGTCGGCTCCGTACCAAGTGAGATGCTGCAGGACCTCCTTGTGCCCAGCCTGCGCCGCAATGTGGATACACGTCTGGCCTGTCAAAAATAGAGATAAAGCGTTATTACTCATTTTCCTCGAAGATGAGTCAGTGCATGAGTACAGTCATTATCGCCTTCAACTATCCTCACTATTGTAGAGAATTTAGATACTGACCATGGCTTCCATATTTCCAAAAGCCATGGCGATCAGTAATGAAAAAATATAATAAAATATTACTAAAAAATGAAAATGGTTGCTGAACAATTTGGGTTACTCCGCGGAATTGTTCTGAGTACGCCCACTTCTCCCTTGCTTAGTAGAAAACGCGTCTACTCGGAAAACATCCACGAGAAAATCCAGTTTGAATCCTGGTACTTAAGATGAGTGAGGTCAGAAGTGAAGTGAAGTGCAAGTCATTCCGGCCGATGCAATAACCAAATCTTTGTATATGATTTTTGTCCGCTCAAATTAAGAAGTCGACTGTTAACAAGAGAAAAAAAGAAAGAGCAAAGCGCCTCGTGATAACCAGAGTACGTTTATTCGCAGGATATTGCAAAACATCTTCGGTGTAAGAGAGATATCACACGCAGCTGCAACTCCTTCGTCAAATCTTGGTCGATTAACGCGATAATTGCCCTTGCGAAGGCGCCATTCATCTCGAGTCATCTAGCGATACAACGGGGTTCAAACAAAGCTTCGAGAGCACGCGGCGAGGCACGAGTTTTAAACAGAAGCCGCCAGTAATGACCGCTAACCCGACCCACGTGGGTCCCGCGGAGTTTCCACTTGTGCTGGAAATACCAAGTTCCAGATAAGTGGTCCGTTGTGGTATGGAACTCTCGATGGGAAACCCGTAGATAGAGTTGCTTCCTTACTGACGAGATTGGGGAAATCTCATGGTTTATTGTCGCGGTCTCTTTGCCGTCATTGGGTGGCAACGTGGTGCCATTCGAGGGCCAAAAGCGGTGCCTGTCACATACCAGCGTGACGGGACCAAAACACGGCGATGGGCTACGGTTGTGTACATGGTCATATATGGCGAGAGAGGGTGCTTGTGCTGCCACATGCCCAGTCCCGCCTGCGCCGGCGCGCTCTTCCTCTCTGATGTGAAAATTGGAATGGATCGCTGTCACTCCACTTGCTCCACCATTTATGCAATGCCCATAGACATTCCAAGCACCAGAACAGTCCGTAATAATGGCTATATTCGTGCGTGTTCCTGGTGAGAATTTAGGGGCGCGGCAACGACACAGTGTGAGGGTTGCCAACCTTTCTCCGCGAGGGGTTTTCCCGCTGAGCGACCTGCCAGCCGTGACAAGACGTCCCGGCCAAAGACACTCACGCCAGAAATACCTCCTTCGCTTAATTTTACACATATTTTTATTTCTTCCCCCAATAGTTCACCGTTGTGTAATCTATTACCAGGGATCGCCATTGGCTCGAATCAGAAATAGAGCGCAAAACCAAGAACGAACAAAATAACGCGCAGCAGGGAAAGCCAGCGAACTTTTTACTCTTGCCCTCAAAGTGATAAAAGTGAACCCAGCCCCGGGAGAGGAGAGGTGGGGGGGGGGGGGTGAGGGAGGGAAGGGTTTTGGTCATGTGCCCTCCTGGACGTCATGCTGTGACGTAACATACCCTCCCTCCCCTCATTCCACCTCTCTACCAACCCACACGTTCATACTAATCATTAAAAATCCCTTGTCAGCTAAATTTACCCACAAGGCTAATCTCGGGCACACAGATAGCCTACCCTGTGGTGTTAGCCGGACCGGGCTCTCGCGCTCCCGCCGATGTTTTTGTTGACTCGAGGCTACCATACACAATACACGCACTTTTGTAGTTACAGATGTAATTACACGGAAGGCTACGTAGCAAAGTTAATAAAAAATACAGATTTAAACGAAAAATCTATACATTTCCATATATATTTTCTAAAATATAAATGCATTCTCATCAGGAAAGAAGCCGAGAAAAATAAGGATGATCTTGTTTTTAAAGGATGAGAAGCAGGATTTTCCAGAGATATGACGGTAGTTCACAATGACGTTTCATTGCTTTATCGTAACAGAAAGAAGGATGAACGTCTACATCCTGCCCCCCCCACCCCCCACCAAAGAAAATCCTCTCACTCTCAGACACAAAGTCAAAGTCCCTCGTCACCTTAAAAATAATTACATACGGGGAGAGAGAGAGGCGCAAATGGCCACAAAACATAGGGAAGTTCTTGGTCACCAACTTCACAAAAAATCGCTCCTCCTTAAATACCCAAGAAATAAGGTGGGAACGTTAATTTTGGTCTGGCGGTATGTACTTCCCGGGTATTTCGGTCTCGTGGTTGAGGGGCTGGGTTGCCCCCCCTTTCCTATCCCCACCCATTACCTTAGCGTACCTTACGCCCGCCGAACTACCTGGACGTGGCATATAACTGTATGTATATGTATCTATCTATATGTATATGTGTACACACACACACACACACACATATGTGTATGTGTGTGTGTGTGTGTGAAAATGAAGATATATTTATAAATATCCATCTATATACATACGTATGTATATATGTATCCATATATATTTATGTGTATGTATATATACACACACGCACGCACGCACAAACACACACACACACACACACATGTGTATGTGTGTGTGTGTGTGTGTGTGAAATTGAAGATATATTTATAAATATCCATCTATATATATACGTATGTATATATGTATCCATATATATTTATGTGTATGTATATTGCACCACACACACACACACACACACACACACACACACACACACACACACACATATATATATATATATATATATATATATATATATATATATATACATATATATATATATCATATATATATATATATATATATATATATATATATATATATATATATATATATTATTATTATTGAGCGGAAAGGAATGATTCCCTAAACCTAAAACTCCTGGTTGGAAACAATAACAATGTAGTGTGCGCGATGGGCGTGCGTGCGGGCGTGCGGGCGGGAGGGTCTGCAGGAGTAATTCTGGCCTGAGGTCTGGGCATGAGTCAGGTGGGGCGGGCCTAGTGTGGCACCCTGACCTTATTTAGTGGCCTGACTAAGTCGGGCAGGTCCGAAGGGCGCCTCCCGCCGCCGCATTAGGAGCGCCCGGGGCTATATTGGCGCACCCGACACCTATTTTTCCTCTGGTGCCGCCGCCGCTGCCAGGCATCTTGGGCACGTCGCCGCCCGCTCCCAGAACACGGGATTCCCACCGCCCCCTCCCCTCCGCCGCTCCCCCTCTTCCTCCTCTCCCTCCCCCTCCCCCTCCGTCTTTAACCCGCCCTTCTTCCCCTCCCTTCGCGCTGGGAGTCTCCGATCTCTCTGCTTGTTCTGGGTTCTACGTGCGGCTGAGCGCTTTGTTCTGCAGGGGGAAGCGAGAGACGGAGAAGCCCGAACGGCCTCTGCCAGGACACGAAGCGCCCTTGGAATGCAGCGCCGAAGTCCTCTCGTCTTTACAGACAATAAAAACTACATATCAAGGCTGCCGAGAAAAAAATGAGATAGTGAAAAAATACACCATTTTCTCGACATAAAATCCTTGACTCGCACAAACACATGCGCTCACGCATGCACACACACACACATACACACACACACACACACACACACACACACACACACACACACACACACACATACATACAAAAGAATGAGGCAACCAAGATGAGGAACCCAAGACAATGTTTCCATTCTGTTCTCCTGAAGGACACAGCAGCTGCTGGGGAAGCCCTCGCCTTCATCATTGCTTTGCAGAGTTCATAAACATTTGCGAATATCCCCCCTCCCGCCTCCCCACCCTCCCCCTTTACGCACTCTTGGTATAAATATCCGTGGGTTACCATGTGACCCATGACCTCCCCCCCCTTACTCCTCTCAAACATGCACATCATACGTGGGGAGGGGGAGGGGGAGGGGGCAGCGCCAATGGGGTGGATTCTTGTCTTTATCATTCACTGCCAAGGTCACGCTGATCAGCATTCACCTAAATATCACCTTTCTTAGCAAATTTTACTTATCATTATACTTTTTTCATTCCCCTTCGTGCGAAAAAAGAAAACTATCCCGGATTTAAGCCACGACGAAAAAAACAACGAAAATTATTGGTTTACAAAAAAATAAAACAAAAATGAGATCCTCCGCCGAGCCCAGTGGCCGCGTACTCGCCGTCCGCGCCTCCTGGATTCTGCACCATCACTGCCATCTGACGGTGCCCGCTGCGGTCACGAGGCCTCAGCGTCTCTCCTCCCCCCCCTGTGCCCAAGACGCCCCTCGCCTCCAAATTCCCCATCCGCATCTCTCGGGTCTCAATCTCTAGCCACAAAGTGTCATTAATCCACGTTCTGGCGGTTTTTATGAAGTCACGCCATTATGCAACCCCTTGAAAAATCCCGAAACTACTGACCTTGGGGGTTTTCGAGTCACTCTCCACGGAACTCATTTCGGCGCCGCCCCGACCACACCGCCCGAGGGCACACCACGTAATTTATGTGTTTATGAATATGGATAAATAAGTATGTGTATAAATACTGCATGTATTTATGATTTGTTTATATGTACGTGGAGCGCGCACGTGTGCACATAAATACATACATACATAAATATAAAATAAACACACATGCATTCACTCACTCTCTATATATATCCACGTCTATCTGTTTATCTATCTATACACGCATATGATTAATAAGATGCAGGTAATGATGATAACGATATTCCATTCAGGCCGAGCGCTCACACACACCTTCCGCCTCCCACTCCCCCGCACTTCCCGGAGGCTCACCGACACCTTCTCGCTTCTCAAGAGCCAACAGAGAATCCGTTCAAACTCGCAACTCCGGCGAGAGAAACTCCGAAGCACTGATCGTCAAGGAGTTCCTCTCTCGGGAGGTCTGAGTCTGATCTTCCATTCAAGGAGGAGCGGGGACCTCGGCTTAGGTTAGGCCCTTGACCTCTCGCCCTCCCATGACCAGCTCGCGAACCTCACGAACTGGTTCATGAC